AGAAAATACTCAAATAATCTCAGATATTAAATATGTCTATCGCGGGAAATTGCTGGATCAGTGACACTTGGCTGATGGAAAATGTGGAAAAATATCATTTTGTAATATATAATGAGCCTCTTCAACCTCCTTTACAGAGCTTAATGGAAAGGTCATGGTGCATTATCCATACAACCTTGCATTAAGGATTTGTAAACTCATAAGTTGATACAGTTACTGCCCTGTTGTGTTCACCTCTAGCATGTCAAACTACAGTCTGTTATATATTCATTTATCTCAGCAGTGGCTACGTGGGTCTGTATACAGTACTAGTTTAAAAAAAAAAAAATTGCAAAGTTTTTATAGCAAGGTTGTTCATACATGCTGCTTTTCCAGATTTGTATTTTCAAAGGGTCTTTAGTGATCATCTTGACTACCTACAAAGGTAAATAGTCCAGACCTCTTGAGTATGCAAAGACCATCATTTCTTATCTTGTTTTCTACTCTTCTCCTGATTCTTAAAGAAGAAAAGAAATTACATTACTACTGTGGCTGCTTATCAGTAAGAACTCATACCACAAAGCTTGATTCTACCAATGATGTTTCAATGGATTTAGCCTACTACGTTTTAGGGTGCACGAGCATATAGTTGGCAGGTTTTGTGGTCAATAGATAAGAAAAGCTTTTTGCAGGGCTAATAGGTCTCCATAGAGCAGCCTTTCTGAATCTTTTTACCACGGAGAAACGTTTGAAATAGCTTACTGGTCTCAGGAAACACTGCTAATGATTACTATATCTGCAGCTCACATTAGTGTAAAGGTCAGTAGGAGGAATATGTCTTACATTTGTGGGCAATGGTAAAAAATACCCTCCACAGGTAGCTAAAAAGATTATTGGTTCTAGTGGTAATTTTTTTCTGAGATGCAGAAACTGCTCACAGCTCAAAGAACCCCAAGCAACCACTAGGGGAACACCAAGGTTCAATTGAACCCTGTCTCAGAAAGGGTTTTGTAGAGGCAGTTGTCCAGGGTGCACAGATTTTTTGAGGTACCTCCTGTATTGCCAACAGAAGAAACCTGAGCAGAAAGCTGAAGGAGATGTGTCTTCACTACGAAGCAACTTAGACTGATTCAAAGCTAACAGCATGATAGGGCAGCACAGTGGCTAAATGGTTAGCACTTTCGCCTGGCAGTACTAGAGTCATTGGTTTGAATCCCAGCCACTGCACCACCTGCCTGGAGTTTGCATGTTCTCCCTGTGTCTGTGTGGGTTTCCTCTGGGTACTCCGGTTTCCTCCCACACGCCAAAGACATGCTGGTAGGTTAATTGGATCCTGTCTAAATTGGCCCTAATATGTGTATGTATGACAGTAAGTTAGGGACCTTAGATTGTATGCCCCTTGAGGGTTAGTGACTGATGTGAATGTACAATATATGTGTAAAGTGCTGTGTAAATTGATGGTGCTATATAAGTACCTGAAATATATAAATGATATTTGACCTTGTTACAGGTGATTGTCAAAAACTTCTCCTGACACAAGTGCTCCTGTAAAGCAGCATTGATTTCTGGTTCTTTTACACCATGGTGGTTCAGTTGTACATGTGGTCTGCCCTTCTGCAATTTCTGATGGGTAGAGATGAGACAAATTTCCCTAAATTTGGTTTGACCAGGGTTTGTCAAATTTCCAAAAAGTTTGCATGCTGAACCCAAATTTCTTTGAAATCAATGGGAGCTTAATCTGTCAAATAAAAAATGCTCATTTTCTGGGCTGTTAGGCAAAGGGTTGTCAAAAAATAGCATTGGGTGGGTCACTGCCCTGAGTAAAATGCACCAGTGCAAACAAAACACTGAAAAAAAGTTTTTCAAACATCTGGCAATTTAAATTGTATAATTTTTTTTCTTTGAAAATGGCATTTTTGCTTTAGCACATACCACAGCATGAAAAAAAATGCCTAGAGTGCTCTCAGAATCTATACCAGACCATTTGAGTCTGGTATGGACTTTAAGGGGTTTCTCACGCAAAAAAAAAAACAGAAAAAAAAAAGTGATATCCCCCTAAAATTCCATACCAGACCTTTAATCCGAGTATTCAGCCTGGCTGGCCAGGAAAGGAGAGGAACAAGCCATCTCCATCTTCTGTGACACCCAGACTGGGTCCCTGGGAAGCTCCATGCCACGAGGCTGTTTTTGAGGTTTCCGGTTGCTAGGGTAGAAGCCTACACATGAAAGCGCTTTCACTACCAGGGCCTTCATTACCTTTGTTAAGACACAGTTTCCCCACTGACTGGCTACTTTTGCACTTGACATTAACACAGTAGTTATTAGCAATGGCAATATAGCCTCCTGCAAATATCTTCACTGCATGTTATATATTGGTACTGTATCTTCTCTATCTCGACTTTTCTGCTTTTTAACCCTTGTTCTTTGTAATATGCCATGCATGCATTGCACCCCTTTATGTGTCTTCAAGTAACTTCAGGCCAAGTTGAAAAAAAAATAAACATTGTTTACTAAAGCTGTTCAGAAAGTAACAAGTAAACAATTCACATGGTATCTACTATAAACATCCCTGTATATGTTAAGTGCCCATAGCTGTTCTCCTGGTGCCCCAAATGCCCATGAGGTAATCTTATCCTATAAAAGTGAGAAAGTCCTTAAGTCCCAAAGTCCATTTAGCAGTGGCATAGGTCAATATCCCTGGATCCTCAGCTGGGCTCCAACAGGGGCTGGTTAAATGCAAGGAGTAGTTCACATCGTCAGCAGCATTCTGTTCCTTAAGTGTGGAGACCTGAAACCCAACCTTACTTACTGCGGCACCCCTGAGAGGTAGTTCCCTCCCTTTTTATGTGTTTGTCCCAGCAAAGGGAGGTACTTCCCCAAAAAGCAAGGGGAAAACCTGGCCTGCAGAATTTACCCTTACTTCCCAAGGAATACCACCTCAGCAGGGTAAGCACAACCAAACAGTGCAATTAACTCAAATTAGGATATACAGTTCTAAGAATATATGCAATCAAATTAAATCAAAACCTTGAAAGTCAAATAATATGAAAAAAACACACAATGCAGTAAACTCCTTGGAAGCCCCAGCTTACATACATTTCTTACATCCCCGTGCTATTAATGGGATATTGAAGGATCCCATTTGGTTACAAGAGTTTCCCATTTTTCTTGATCAGCTATTAATAGCCACATGCAAACAGAAAGGGAATTCTGTTTGATTCCACCTGCTGGTTTATGGTCGTTCGAGTTTACATATACACAGGGGGCCAGACAGTTGTCTTGGTCTTCTACTTCCTTCTTAAATTCTCCATCTTGTGAGCAAACATCTCCTAAGAGCTCCTAACAAGAGTAATTCAGCATTCTTGTATTGCAGTGTTGACTACAGATTTGCCAGTTGTTACCAAACAACTCAGTCATTGCTCACATTGATTAGATCTTTACTTGCACGCATTTATTCAGGGATTAAAATGGATGTGAATTTCTTCAACAACATATTGATCTGTTCAAATTCACTTTTCCCAATTTAGTCTTTAAAGATCTAGGCCATTTAAATATTTGTAGTGGAACTTTCAGTTCTGCATTTACTGAGAAAATGAATGCTGTTAGCTAGCAGTGCAGAGCTTTGGATAAATTTGATCCACTATATAATGTCATTTTCTTGCACGTTTACAAATGTAGTTAGGTTTTTGATTAAGCTAAGTTGTTTACTATGCAGTGTACACAGTTCGGTTACTCAAGGCAAGTTTAATTGGTACAAAGATACATCTGATTATTGCCACCTAGTCTTGCTAAATATGTCATAGCCAAGCAACGATTGAGGGCTAATGTTGGGACCTTACATGTTATCGGTCTAATTTTTATTATTCACTTAACATGCACACACAATACTTTGCCATGCTCTGGGGTAAAGGGCGTGACCTGGTCCACTCCATTTTTCTGTGGTATGAGGAATATGAAAAACAGAGAAGCCATTGCTGACAGCTTCTGGTATCCTGGTAGTGTGATATGTGATATCAACAAACCTCCTACTCTCAGCCAACAATTTGGGTATCTGAAGTCTCAAGAGATATCAAAGGCATTGAGGCTAAGTTCAAACCCTTTACAAAAATTCTAATACTGACACTTACGCAAACTAATGTGCCTATAGAGTTAAAAAGAGCACCACAGACCCCTCCAAGTGTTTTTTTTTTTAAGGGAAAGTGTTTTTATTCTCAGCTCATTGATATTTGATAAATGCTTGTCAAACATGCTGTAAATGCTCCGTAAATGCTACAGATGCGTTTATGGTGTGTTACCATTGACACTGAATGTAAGGAGTTGACAAGCTTCAACTCTTCCCAGACTCGACATGTAGCTTCATTTTTGCTGCAGAGCAATGCAAAGCTATGCAGACACTTCACACTTCATAGTTATCAAATGTGAACAGCTCTGGTTGCTGTCCATATTATCCATTGTAGACTGCTTTTCTAGGCTTTTGGGGAATGCCAAAAACACACCCAAAACACCTCCTCTTTCTAATGCCAGTGTGAAGAGCGCCTAAGGGTCAATACAATGCAAGAAGGTTGGAGATATATATATATTTTTTATATATATGTAGGAGCATTATATATGTATATATTTATATGTGGGAACATTATATATGTATATTTTTATACACACTACACTACACCTACTACACTCATAAACACACTAGGGCAATTTGGGGACGATGCCAATTAATCTTCCAGTATGTTTTTGGAATGTGGGGGGGAACCAGGGCAAAACTACAAAGACACAGGGAGAACCTACAACCTCTATACTACTAGATATAATTGGAAGCCTTGACCCACAACTACACATAAGAGTGGTAATCATTTTTTTTTCACTGGAAAAAAATAGTGAGAGCGGCACTGGGAAAGTCAGTTCATCTATGAAAGGGTGTCATGTAATTTTGAGAAGCTGGTGTCATTTGGCATCGTTATGCAACTTCTGTGGTTTTCCTTTACAGAGGAGCAACTGCCTATAAAAGGGTCTGTTGTTGGCAGGGGCGGACTGACAACTCATGGGGCCCCCGGGCAATAGGGGATCATGTGTCCTTGTCCCTGTGTCCTTGCCCAAACTCAAAAAAGCCTATGAAAAAGGTACCAGGGGCATCTCATGGGGCCCTCTACTGACCCCGGGGCTCTCGGGCAGTGCCCGAGTTTCCAAATGGTCAATCTGCCCCTGGTTGTTGGTGTCAATACTTAAAGAAACAGAGAGAGAGAAAGATTGTTTGTTGGCAGCTTTGCATGGGAAAAGGTTTTTTTCTTCTGAAGCTTGACTTCTTGCCAGAAAGGGAACCTAAATATATATTAAAGCAGGCCATACACTGGTAGATTTTTGTTCCTGTCACAACAAAAGAATGAGAATGCTGTTTTCATAAACAAACCCTTTCTAAATACAAAGGTATGAAGGAGTAGTTAATAAGAATACATAAACTTTACATCACTTCCATCCATCCTGAAATCAACCCTTTAAATTCGCAACATTAGCACTAGAATCAAATGGAAATTCTCTGGATATTCATACAAAATATGTCTAGTCACTGATAGCATTACTGAATGGCCTATTGAACTCTTATTGAATCTTTGAATTTTTATAGGAACTTTCAAACAAAAATCTACTGGATTATGGTAAGCTTTAAAAGTGCCAGAAGGGTTAGGGTTTAATTTTTGCTTTATTTTTTTTTTCTGTAGGAAGCTGTCTACATTTTTTGGGTGCTGGAAATGCTGTCACTTTAAAGAAAGCTAGCTATGACCAGCTGAAAAATAAATTGCATTATGAACTATAGCTGTCTATATCAAAAACCCTCTATTTGAATCTGCCTACATTTCACCGGAAGCAAAGCTATTGTCATCACAAAATGAATATACAGAAATACGTGTTGTGATACAAGTAATGGAAAGAAGGGGAAAAAGATGTGGTGGACATTGCAGCTAAAAAGTTAAAACTTAGTTGACACTTGCGTGTACGCAGGAGACACTAAACATAAAAAAAAAGATTTGTGAAATAGTAAACCAGACTGGTTATGATGAGGTGGGTTAAAAGGAACCAATGAGCCCAGTGGAGCCTTCTTAAAACAAAAGGTGTCTACCAGTCTCATTTCCATTACATATTTAAGAAATACGTTATTTATTCCTCCCTTTAAGAAAATGGGCAAAACATGGAAATCATTCCATATTTTCCCTTGGGTCAACTATACATCCAGAACTATTGGTTCCTTTGTCCAGTTATAACAAACTATACACAGCTACTTTACTAAGATTTGTGATTCCCCCCCCCCCCACCCTTGGAGGAGCATGAGAACCCTTTTTAGAGCCGGTTCTCTAAATTCTGTGCCAATATCCCACAGTCTCCCTGTTCTTTTTATTTATTCTTTATTTATATTGTCACATTACATCCAAAAACTTATACATCTACATGCAAGAATGAATTTTAAGTGATATATTTTCAATGGTATGCAAACATTGGAAGGAAATACATAACCAATAAACATCAAGTTAATACAAACCATATAATATTATCTTTATATAGTGAGAAGAATTGAGGAACCCAAAACAAGTGGTAATGATCCAATGTAGGTCACCAGCCACCCGCTAAGTATAAGAGGAGGTGAATTCCGAAGGTTAAAAGGGTTTGTGGGACGGTTGAAGCAGGCCTATGTATGGGAGAGGCTTGGGAGGGAGGGGATAGTTGGGGTAGTCTGGGAAAGTTCTGCTCCCCTAGGGGTCAGCCGTACTGATTCTCCTTTCTCTTCCTGCTAACAGTGAACACCACAACTTTGCTGATCGCCACTCTGAGCTTGCTCCTCATGTCTACTTCCTTGTGTTACCTCTTTTCTATCCGTCAGCTCATTTACTAAGTAGTCCCATCATAAATCAGATTTTAGTGTTCATCAGGCACAAGGTAATTTCGTATGCACTCAGAATCTGGTGTGGCTGTGCATGGTAGCCAATTAGCTACTAATTACAGCTTGTTCAGTTGAAGAGGAATTTCACCCAAAAATGGAAGGTCTGATTTTTTTTGTACCCTCCTCTGTCACATTTGGCACTTTTTTGGGGGAAAGGGGGCGTGGGTACCTGGTTTTGACAGGTACCCGCTCCCCCTTACGGTCAGATGTGATCTGAGCTGGAAGTTCGGCCCTCCCTCCTTCCCCTGCAGTCTTCTGGGACACTTCACGGGTCCCAGGAGACTGTGGGACCATTCACAAAGTGCAGCATGTTTTGCAAATGCACAGTAGGAAACCGACTGTGAAGTTGGATTCCCTTATAGGTCTCCCACCTGCAACCGAAGCCAACTGAAGAATCAGCTCAGGTAGGGACATTGCTGGATCCCTGGACAGGTAAGTATCCTTATTTTAAAAGTCAGCAGCTACAGTATTTGTAGCTGCTGGCTTTAATTTTTCTGAGGGGAGCCTTGAGCTCCTTTTTAAGCTTTGACAATAAAACCTGGAAGCTGATTGGTGTCTATGCAGAACTGCACCAGATTTTCCACACTCCAGTTTCAGTATATAACCCTCTATGCGACTTAAGGACTTTTAAAGGAATACACATGTAAACCAATGTGGGGTCTGCTTTAATTGCCTATAGATTTTTGTGTTCAAAATTTTAAAAAAACATCACGCAGGATAACAATAAAAAAGACAAAAGGGAAAAAAAAAAAATACAGTCAATAATAGTAGAACAGCCAAACATTCATTAAGTTGAATATTTTTGGATGATGCTACATTTACTATATTTCTGAAAGCTTACTCAAGGATAGACTTACACTCTAAAGTGAGCTGTCTGGCTGTCTGCTTTATAATATATCACTTTGCCATGCATTTGAGAAGTTGGATATATTGCCCCATGAGACGGCACGTTAGAAGAATCAAGGAAAATTGACTAAGTGGTTTTGATTCAGATACCACCTTTTGGTATTGAACAATTTGTCAGTTTTTCCCCTGCTCTACATAACAAACTCAATCAGACACATGCACCATCCTCAGTAATTGATGAAGCCACAGTCGCGCAAGTACATCTCTAAATCCAGGAACGTGGCCAATTATACGCCACCATCAGATATCCAGTAAGTGATAACAATTTGAGTTCAGGATGGATTGCAGAGTGTGTTGGGAACAGGGAATGGTATATTAAACATACACATCCTTCATAAGGCTCAATTCATAGCTGTCTGGGGTTTGGAAGAACACAGATTTGGAATGTCCAGCATTAACATGCAGTAACTGGACCTTATAGGGGGTGACCTCATAAGGTCAGCACTAGAGGGAAAAAGAATTCTAAATTTGTCATGATCATTTTTATTATTTCTGTCATCTTGCCCCATGTCAGACAAATGACGGCACGGGACATTAAAATTATGTGACCCAACTAATGTCCCATTTTACTGGCTCGCAGCAATAATAGACTTTTCAAATTTTGTTTCTGCGGGTGAATCTGATCTAATGCCTATAGTTATCTGGCAAAAAAAAACCCATAATAAAAGAAAAAAACAGTTCCTCAATGTAAAACTTTGATTAATATGAAGCTGCCATTTCTGACCTCTTTCTGCTAGTTGCTTTATTGTTTCAGGGACCCTATTATCATGCTGAAATTTTATCTGGTGTGTAGAAGATAATATTTCATCCAAGAAAAAAGTCAACACACTATAAAATTAAAAATACCAATTTTAGTACCTACACGTGGACCAAAAAAGGTTTTTGCATCCCTCTGGAATTCATGTTACGTTAACTAATTCACTTGTCATAGTTATGTAAACATCAATAAAGCCTGCATGTGTTGCCCCCCTAGTAACAAGTTAAAATTAATTTACAAATCTAAAATGTAAATTATATTTTCAAATGCAGGTTTAAAATCGTATTGTTTGTGTTGGAGAAACCTAGGCAGTTCTTATGTCAGCCACTTTGATAAATTAGGCTTGGTTAATTTTATCATTTTCATTTATTGGGAAGGCAAAATAGTAAACATCTTATATATGATTCAAGTATATATACAGTAAACCAAAAATTAAAATCTCATTTAAGCCTTAACAAGTTATTTAATTTTATTATATTTTAATTCTAACTTTTTTTTAGTGTTACAAAACCCATGGCCCTGCATTCACTATATCTGGCCTCCCACAGTACACAGAACATGGAAATATGGATTATTTTAGTACATATAAACTGCTAAATACCTTTTCTCATCAGCAGTTAGAGCAGTCTTGTGAATTCTATCAGTGTCCAGCTGAGCACTGGTTAAAGCTTGTAGGCCAGTGGTTCTCAACCTGTGGGTCGCGACCCCTTTGGGGGTGGAAAGACCCTTTCACAGGGGTCACCTAAGACTATCGGAAAACACATATTTCCGATGTGTAAAGAGCAGCTACTGTGTAGAAAGCAGCTACAGTGTTGAAAGCAGCTACTGTGTAGAAAGCAGCAATACTGAAGGTAAAACGATACTTCATAAATTATAATTACTGGGTAAATAATTTTATGGTTGGGGTCACCACAACATGAGGAACTGTATTAAAGGTTCGCGGCATTAGGAAGGTTGAGAACCACTGTTGTAGGCGGAGTTTTCCTTCTCCCCTGATTGTCCTATGAGACTGCATGACCCCTTACCCTCTGTCTGGACAGTGCTGATTGGCCTACAGTCTACAGCTGATTGGCCTACAGGGAAGGGGCTACAGCATCCTAGATGTCACGCCACCCTTGGCAGCCATCTTTACTTGGATGGTCAGTGGTTTTTATTCTCCTGTTTGTACCTGATTTGGAATAAACACCCCATTTGTAATGCAGTATCACGCTATGTGGCATTATTCTTGGGCTTTCTGTGAGTTTCACCACACACAGACGCCTTTTTAGAAATATCCTGAGGCAGTGATACCGGTTTGAGGGTCCTTGAACAGAACAGGAGGAACAACCTGACCACATCTGTGAATGAGTGATCTGGCTGACCGATTGAGACTACTAATGATCTCAAATGCGCATTTAATGCGCACTTCTGGTGAGTGTGCAATTTATTTATTTTCAGTCTCATCACTTATCACTTCAGACATAGAGGAATAGAGCACTTTGAGTGGACACCTGCTATAATCCTCAAGTTATCATCTGGACTTTTGATATTTATTCCACTTTAATCACTCATCTGTGGCTTTTATAGTTTGTTTTGCACTTTACATGCACATATTTAGTGTATTCTTTGTGGCAACATTTACATCCTTTCTGCACTTTATATTTTACATTTATATTTATTGAAGTCATAATACCGGATTCAGCTAATTAGGAATTTTATACATATTTGTTTGTACAGTGCTGCACTGCACTTTATTATCACTGATTGGCCTTGTGCTGATCACATGCACCCTCCTGAGAAAAAAAAAAAAAATCTCTCTATCAATACACACCAAACTGAGCATGTGCAGCCCCAAGACTCTGTTCTATCAGAAGATGGATTGGGGACAGTAAAAGAAGAGGAGGATCAGAGAAGACAGGATCAAACAGCCTTTTTACACAATGCAGAGGATTAACCCCTTAGGTTCCACAATAACCACAAGTATAACAAGCATGCTTTTCTGCATATACATACTGATTTTTTTGTGGGTTTAGTAACACATTATTATTACCTGGTTGTAGGATGAAAGCACCATGTCTTTGTCTCCTAGTTGTGTTCCTGCATTGTCACGCGGTCACATGGGCTCCTGATGGGGACTACTGCTACTAAAACACATTACACAAGCAGGGGCCATGCATGTCCACATGAAGTGACTGCAGGAGGTCAGCAGATAAAAAAATATATAATGTGAATATTAATATCCATTATGGAAAGGTTGTCTTACATTTATCCCTTTGCATATTGTGAATGATTATCAACTACTATTGGAGGGATCTTTGGAAAGAACAAAGTAATGACGTGGTATTAATCCCAAAACTAAAAATGTCATATATTGCAGCTTACCAGTGATGTGGTGTTTGCATTAGTTTTGTTTTTTTAGTTTTTTCCCCCTCTGTTTTCACCTGGTGATCTGGCCAGTTACACACCTCCTGTATTAGAGTGCCCATACTTTGGATGAAGAAGCACAGGGACACCTTTGGACAGTAGCTTTGTCAGTCTGGGGGAAGGGGCATTTTAGATGGACTGCAAAACTGCAGCTAATGCTTTTTAAGCAGTTTCAGCATTTTTTTTTTCCTTTTGGGACAAATGTTTTAGATAAAGAAATAATTGTTAATCATTGTAATCCTCCCTGTCAGTTGTAAATGGTTTGTCTCAACCCTCTAACTGTTATTTCTGTCAGACACCTTGTTCTGTTGAACAACAACAGACTTACTGGCTGGATCACCAGGTGAACATAAGATAAGGAAAGCTTAAAAAAAGAAAACGAATGCAGCCACCACATCTAAGAATTGGCAACCTGCAATATAATACGTTAGCGTTTGGGATTAATACCCATTTAATGATAGACCTTCACCCCTGGTTCACTTATATGTGGCCGTGTAGACTGCGTTTTGCGGGGGCACGAGAGCCCATTCATTTGAATGGACTCCCGTGCCCTGTGACATGCAGGGAAGAAGTCCCTGCACTTCTTCTGAAAACGCAGCCTGCACAGGAACCTCGGTTCCCAGTAAGCTTGCGTTTTCCAGTGCGGGTGGCGTGCCATTAGAACTAATGGCACGCCACCTGCAGGTCCGCATTCTTCTGTGTGGGTGGTGCGGCTGCACTGATTTTCGTGCGGATCCATAGTGGCACCACCTGCACAGATGTGAACCTAGCCTTACTACTGGAGGGACTTTCACAATCATGAATTAGGCTTGGTTCACACCAATGCGTTTTTTAGTTCTTTTTGCTTTTTGCAGAAATGCACTACAGTCCATTTAACATGGTTTCCTATGGAACACATTCACATCTATGAGTTTTTCAGCTCCTGTGTTTTTTTTGGAAAGGGTCAGGGACTATTTTAAATGCAAAATGGTTTGTGGTTCAATAGACTTTAATGGAGACGCTGCAGAAAATGCATGTAGTGCATTTTTGGTGCGTTTTCAATGCGTTTTTTTTATTATTTAATCTGTCCAGCAACAAGTTGGCCAAAAAAAAAGCCATAAAAATTGCAAAACGCATCAAGAAGTCATGTGCAAAAATGTGTTTTTGATGCGTTTTATATTTCTTAATCTGTCCAGCAACAAAATGGCCAAAAAAAACATTAAAAAACACAAAATTCAAAATGCATCAAAAAGGCATGTGCAAAAATGCGTTTTTGTTGCGTATTATATTTTTTTAACCTCCCTAGCAGTCTGATTATGTCCATATTTCTGTGCTTAAAGCGGTACATTTTTTTGCATGGAAATGTGTCATTTTTGTATTGTAGGCCTGTAATTTTTAGGAATAATTCACTGAAATCTGTCCGAACAAGAGTCTAGTAAACATCCCGGGTATGTTACAATTTGAAACACAAAATCATAAATTATAATTTAATAAATAATCCTAAAAAATAATAATAATATAATAATAATAATACATTTAATTCAATAATATAATCAAACCAAAAACACTGAAATTTGAAATATATCGCCAAGTTCGCACATCACTGAGCAAAGTCGCAGAATCATTTTCAGTGTCTGATGACGAATTTCCCCACGAATCATTATCACTCAATTCTGCAAGTGGTTCTGATTTACTATCGCTGTTCTCTAGCTGGTCTAAAACCGATTTTGACCTAAAGGGACGCTTTTTGGACGCCATGGACGTTTCTCAGTTTCCAGGCAGAAAGAACAGTAAAAATGCAGGCAGGGCACAGGACAAAGCACTCGGGACAAAATGTATGTGAAATGGTTTGATACAGTAATGTTTTACTATGTGATTTTAGTGATTTTAGTGAATGTCACTTTTTGTCATTTGCAAATTTCCCGTCAGTTCCATCCCCGTACGTCCCGACGCTCGCAGGGAACGGAACCCGGAAGACAGATACCGGCATCGGCTGGATTACATTGCCGGGGACACTGCAGGAGGGACATCGCGGGAGCGCAGGACAAGGTAAGTGATCGAGGGATCCCGGAGCAGCGCCGCATGGTAAGCCCGAGTGTAGCTCAGGGTTACCGCTTGTGATACTGAAACTTTACCCCGAGCTACACTCGGGAATACCGCCAGGGAGGTTAATCTGTCCAGCAACAAGTTGGTAAAAAAAAAACATAAAAAAATGTAAAATGCTAAATGCATCAAAAAAGCATGTGCAAAAATGCAAAAGACACTGCAAATCAGGGGCGGACTGACCATTTGGATACTCGGGCATTGCCCGAGGGCCCGGGGGTCAGTAGGGGGCCCCATGAGATGCCCCTGGTACCTTTTTCATAGGCTTTTTTGAGCTTGGACAGGGGCCCCATGATCCCCTATCGCCCGGGGTCCCCATGAGTTATCAGTTCGGCAGTGCTGCAAATAGCACTGCAGAAACGTATCAAATGCACACTTCATTGGTGTGAACCAAGCCTTATTGTTGTGGTCTTTCCATGGGTGTCAGATCTTTTCAGCACTCCTCATTCTACTTATGCATCAAATTTCCTATAATTCATAATTAAATTGATACAATTTCTAGTATTGTTTATTGGAAAGCTTTATTCCATCTAGCTGCAATATGAATATGGACGACCATGGATATAGTGGAGAACATCATAATGTTTTATCTATCAGCAGAGAAAAAAATCACTTACTGCTTTCTGCAACAGGTGTGCAAGCCTAAAGACGCCGTTTAGAAGACAAGAGATTTTTTTTCCTCTGTTCATGTTTAATAAATCACCGGTCTAATGTTTTACCGTCATTGGATCCCTTAGTGGGAGGGTGATAGATGGCTTTGAAATCCCTGACAACTGCTGGCAAATCATTCAGAGACAAAACCTTTAAATCTGACATTATAGAGTGCTGAAAGGAAGAATGTCTGTTTTTATAACCTACCTCAGTTATAATAAATATTTAAAATCCTCATCCACGTTCTCTTACTGTTACAATCTGCGCTGTGTCCAGGTTAGATTTAATTAGCAAGAAACCCTTCCTAACGCCGACTTCCAGATGGATTAAAAAACAGGCTGGTTGTCTTACGGCACCCGTTGTTTTCTTAAACTATCTGCACCCTAATAAATATTAACAGTCAGCGTGCAACCTTCTGACTTACAGAATGCATACATTTAATTTCAATGATGACAGATTTCCATAATGTGGGCTATTTTCTCCTAGGAGGGGCACTGGAGTGTTCTGTAGGGAAAGTTCGACATTTGGAGTGATCGGGTGAATGAGCGCCATGCTTCTGTGACAACGCAAACAGGCAAAGGGTCATATTTTAGAGGAGCAGACCTAGAAAGGATTTTCTGCCATTGAGGGTGGCTAATGAGACAGAGAGAAATAGTATTTATGACTGACATGTATTTGTAAGAGACAAAATGGAAGCTGCTCTGTTTTTCATTCCATTGTTTCAGTTGGTTATTTATATATTAGTCACAAAAGTATACAGTATGGTCATTAAAAACAGATTTTTTTAGTTTTTGGTGGAATTTGTCATCCAGTGGCATTCCAGGACCCTAATGGAGTCACGCCTTAAGATGGTCATAGATGGATTGAAATCCGGCTGGTTCAGGAGGGACTGGCTGAATTTCAATTCGCCTATGGCTGTTCTCACTTAACAGAAGTCAACAATCAACATCTGTCAAACGGAAATGTTGGAAAATGTTCATTCGTTCAAGGGTTGATAATTGTATTCTTACAGTGGAGGAGTCACCACCAGGGGCGGACTGACCATTTGGAAACTTGGGCACTGCCCGAGGGCCCGGGGTCAGTAGGGGGCCCCATGAGATGCCCCTTGTACCTTTTTCATAGGCTTTTTTGAGTTTAGGCAAGGACACAGGGGGCCAATGATCCCCTATTGCCCGGGGGCCCCATGAGTTGTCAGTCCGCCCCTGGTCACCACTTTCTGAATATAATAGCTCAGTGGGGGGTATTCCTACATCTGCTTCACATTCATTTTTTTTTCAATCCATCTATGGCCAGCCTTAGAGTTTTCAGTCTTTTACTCAACAGCTTCCATCATCTACTGTATATGGATTGCAGGCAGATAATATCTTTGTGTATTAGGACTACAAGGAAAGGAAGGGTTAAAGAAGAATTGCAGGTATGGATATTACATGTAACTATGCATACACCAAACCTGTAGGATCCCTCTAGAAGCTGGAAATAACTGTAGCAGACTCTGCTACTTTAGTGGTCTCCACTAGCTTTGGGGTCCTGTGACAAGCTGGTGGTCACTGGGCCCAGGCACCCCTCAGAGAATGCTTTGCATATTTGAACATAATAGAAAGTGTGATGTCACCACCCCACCGCTCCACCTCGTTCAATCAGAGAACTTTTTGCATTCATTGACAAAATGCAAAGCAATCTTTGAATGGCCCCCATGGTGAGTGGGTGTCCTCCTGTGTTCAGAATGCAGCAAGGTAGTCGGTTGGCACGGGAGTTGGTGGAGATCACTGGGGCCGTGGGGTCTACTTCAGCAGTTTCTATCTTTAGAGGGATCCCACATGTATGGTAAATGGATAGTTACATTAGTCTAAGCTACACTCAACGGCCGCTTTATTAGGTACAACTTACTAAATATTGGGTTAGACCCCCTTTTGCCTTCAGAACTGCCTTAATTCTTCGTGGCATAGATTCAACAAGGTGTTGGAAACATTCCTCAGAGATTTTGGTCCATATTGACATGTTACTGTTGCCTTTCTATCATCTTGAATCATTCTCCTCTGACCTCTAACATCAACAAGGCATTTTCATCTTCACAACTGCTGCTCACTGGATATTTTCACTTTTTTGGACCATTCTAAACCCTAGAGAGGGTTGTGTGTGAAAATCCCAGTAGATCAGCAGTTTTGGAAATACTCAGACCAGCCCGTCTGGCATCATCAACCATGCCACATTCAAAGTCAAGTAAATCCCCTTTTTTCCTCATTCTGATGCTCGTCTTCACGATGTTTAGATGCCTAAATGCATTAATTTGCTGCCATGTAATTTGCTGATTAGAATTTTGTGTTACCAAGCAATTGAACAGGTGTACCTAATAAAGTGACCAATGAGTGTGTGTAAATATGCAAAAATATCCATATCTGAAATTCTTCTTTAAAGCTGAACTCAGGGATAAGCAATTAGTTTTGTAATACAAGAGTCGTGTGTCTTATTAGTTGAATCCTGGCATGTTTTGTGTATTTCTTCTAGATCTGTACAGTGATACAGTGTGAAACGTAGATCTGTGTAGAAGCTTCCCGAACTAAAGACCAGTCTCTGCTATCCTCTGTTCTTGTGCAGAGTGACTGGTCTTGTATCCATCCTCTCCTGCAGTTTGCTGCAGGCAGCCTGTAGTGGGTGGAGTTGTTGGGTCCCTCCCACAACAGGCCAGTAATGATATCACCACTACGTTTACATAAAAATAACTGGGTGTTAAAAGGCATTTGGTGCACACAAAGTGGGTTTTTTTTATCCTTTGTGGCCATTATTATTATACAGTATTTATAAAGCGCCAATGGTTTGCTCAGCGCTGTACATTACAAAGGGGGACAGAACATGTGACAGAACAATAACAATACAGTGCAAAACATGAGGGGATCGAGGGCCCTGCTCTTTCGAGCTTTCGAGCCAATCTAGAAGGGAGGGGATGGTGGCACAGGAGGAGATAGCTGTGGGGGATGGAGTGGTAGGAAGAGTAGAGGAGGTCGGCAAGTTAGCAGGGGTGGGGTAGGCTTCCCTGAAGAGATGGGTTTTCAGGGTGCACCTAAAGGAGAG